AAAATGTCCAAGAACTTCCGGGGTAGGTCTGCTAAGAGCATCGAAACTACATTGCTGAGAAATGCACACAAGAATATTGCTGAAGATTTAATATTATCAAAGGTATCGACAAAAGAAAACTACAGAGGTGAAATGAAAATTAAGAGAAAAACCATTTTTGATTTAACCCATACATATAACTCTTTGGACGAAACCAAAATGTTACAACCCCTAACTGAAATCTCAAATGAACTCCGGAAGTTCGAGGCTAAAAGTTCTAATTATTTTGAAGATGGAAGGTATAAATTCAGCCAACAAAAATTCAACTTATTTTAACTTATTGTTGTATAATTTTTTTTTTTTAATTTTAATTGTATTAATGATATATTTGAATATTTATTTTCAGCAAGCAAACAAGTATCGAAATTGAACAACTGAATGCTCGTGTAGTTGAAGCTGAGACTAAATTGAAAACCGAAGTAACAAGAATTAAGAAGAAGCTGAATATACAAATAACTGAATTGGAAATGTCTCTAGATGTTGCCAACAAAAATAACATCGAGCTACAAAAAACTATCAAAAAGCAATCTCTCCACTTAACGGTAATTTTTGTTTTTTTTAAATAAAATATTAAAACTTTATAAATCCTGTTAATAATATAACGTCAACTTTCACTGTTAATTTAAATTAATAATTTTATACTGATTGCAATAACTACTGGCACAAAGTTTTATAATTTTATATTTTAAATAGAAATTTATCAATTAGCACACAATATTTATACCAACCTAGAGCCGTATTTAGGAAGTAAATCGAATAGATAATTATCCAGGGTACTTACTTTTTAAAGGTGACGAAAAAAATAGTAAAAAAATTAAAATAATAATGCATAATTATTATCTTAATTTTTAATTTTTTTTTTTTTTTTGATACTGTGTCTAGTAATTTTAAAATTATTTTTTATATGCACTGTAACTTATCACAATATATTAACAAAGACGAAGAATTATAAAAAATAAGTGTATTTCTGACTCTAACAATGAGAAATTTTTTTTTTTGACTAGCCAATGAGGAAATAAAAATAAAAAAAGAAGGGCTGAAATAGCTGTAACCCTAGAACACCAAATTACTAAATACGGCCCTGTACTAATCAAAATGGTTATACTGATTTCATAGTACAATTTGACACGAGTTATTATTAAATTTTGCTATTTAATACTTAACTAATTTAAATAATACTTCTCCAAATATTTTAATAATTTTATTTTTAACTGAAATTTTCATATTAATTATTATTTACATTATTAAATAGGAATTGCAAGCTCACTACGATGAAGGTCAACGTCAATTGGCTGTTACATTGGATCAATTGGCCATTGCTCAACGCAAGATCCAATCTCTTACTGGAGAAATGGAAGAACTCCGTGGAAACTACGATGCTGTAAGTTGAAAAAAATTATACAGCCGACAATTTTTAACGGAATTCGTACAAGCAAAGCTTTAAAACTTTAATTAATATTTATTTTAGACATTGCGTAACAAACGAGCTGTCGAAGTTATGTATGAAGAATCACAAAGTCGTGTAAATGAATTGACCACTATCAACGTCAACTTGTCATCATCAAGAGCCAAGATTGAACAAGAGCTACACCAATTGGCATCAGATTACGAAGAAGTATCTAAGGAATTGAGAGTGAGTTTTCTCTGACTAAAATCCCAATTATAATGTAACTTTTTACATACTTTTATTTATTATCGTTAATTTAAAGATATCAGACGAACGTTACCAACGGGTACAAATTGAATTGAAACACACTGTAGAAGTATTGCACGAAGAACAAGAGAGAGTGATTAAAATCGAAGCTATTAAGAAGTCATTGGAAATCGAAGTCAAAAATATTTCTGTTCGTCTTGAAGAAGTCGAAGCCAACGCTATTGTGGGTGGTAAACGCATTATTAGCAAATTAGAAGCCAGAGTGAGTAAAATTACGATCATTTAATTAATAATTACCAATTAGGTAAATATCAATTATTTTACTTATACGGACTATAACATTCTTTTTTAACAGATTCGTGACTTGGAATTAGAAATCGACGAAGAAAAACGTCGTCACGCCGAGAGTGTTAAGATTTTACGCAAGAAGGAACGTTCTCTCAAGGAGTTGGTCATCCAAAGCGAAGAAGATCACAAGAACGTGCAGCTCTTACAAGAAGCTCTCGACAAAGTCAACCAGAAGGTCAACATTTACAAGAGGCAATTACAAGAACAGGTTTGAAATTTTTAAATACGCGCGCATGTAGTAAATGTTGCCATTAGGTTATTATTATTTAATCGTTACTAAAACATGGTTCAATTAAACGTCTACAGGAAGGTATGAGCACCCAGAGCGTCACTCGGGTAAGGCGATTCCAGCGAGAATTGGAAGCAGCCGAAGACAGAGCCGACGCTGCTGAAAGCAATTTATCTTTGATCCGCGCCAAGCACAGAAGCTTCGTGACAACATCACACCCAGGCTCACAAGTGTATGTTGTGCAAGAGTCAAGGGCTACAACTACGTCTTCAGAACAATATTAATTCATTTAATAACAATTATTTTCTGTTTTTATTAATTTAACATTTATTTTTTTTTTTAATAATCGACCGAAATAGGCTACACATATTCCACGTGACGCAAATCGTTTTAGCTTTTACCACTCTTCGAACAACACTTTCTCGATAAATCTGTGTTTAGTTTATTCTCAAAATTACTTACTCTGGCTAAACACGATAAATTTACCAAAAAGTAAATGTAATACAGTGAAATAAATGCTTTTAAAATATATTTATCACAGTCTTCAAGTTGGACAAGCTGGAAAATATTATTATGATCGGTAGACCTACTTTTGGTTATTTATGAATTTCATTCAATATAATATGTATTTCATATGTCTACATCAATAAAATAAATTAATAAATAATTTAAAACAGTTAATTTATTTTTATTTTACTATAGGTATACCTTTTCTAGTCCTCTACCTGTACTGTATATAATTTTATGGTTTAATAGGTTATAATATTATAACCAATCTTGTTAAGTATTCAATTACTTGTATTTAAATATTTTTGATATTTTAAATACCCACTTTTAAAGTTTTAAAATAATTGTAACTATTGTCATTTAAATACTTTAAAAATAATTATTCTCTTTAGGTACCTATTCTTGTTTTAAAATACCAAATGCCCTCTTTTTTATTGTTGTATTCCAATGACTAATATTTTATTATTTTACTGTTTTAAAAATAATATTTTATCATAGTTTTAAGAATTTATAATGAGATTTCTTCAAACGAAAAACAAAAAAGCAAACCACAATAGGCCCAAATCTGAAAATGTTTAACTTATAAAGTATGTACATAGGTATTAACTGTTTAATTTAAATATTTTAATTTTCTAAATAAAGTTAAGTATCAATACATAATTACTAAAAACATTTACAAATATTTCAATATCAAATTTATTGAACTAAAAAAAAATATTCAAATACGTATTCTAAATATAAATAACACCAGATATTTAAATATATTTTCTGAATTCTGAGTAGGTGCCTACAGTTAAAAAGTACTTTTTGCAAAACTGACTTAAGCTACAAACTTATTAGATCTAAAAAGGTATAAATTATTGCATTGGTCAATGTTTAAGTAATAATGGACAAGTCGATAATACTTACAAATTATTGAATTGTTTAGTCCATATTACATTAAGTTGATCACTTCCTGTATTTTGAACTCGTTACTAAGTCTGTAGTTTGTACTCTGTATGACTGTATATGATTTGTCTTTCGCTTTTCATATTAATTATTCTTTAGCGCCATCGGCTATCGCTACGTCGTCAATGTAACCACTTACAGTACCTAGGTATTCTAGTAGACCATTAATTTACCAAAGAGGTTTCGGTTAGCAAGTTGGATTTAGTTGTTATTTGAGTGAAGATGAATTCCATATTACAATTTACCTACTGAAGGATAAAAAAAATGGTTGAAAATTTAAATTCAAAACGATATCTTAACAAACAATTTTAGTTTTTTCATTGTAATTCAAAAAGTATTAATCGTAAAAAATTTGAGACATTTCACTAAAACCTATTATAATTTTCTATACTCGATGATTTTTTCAAAAATAATTAGATTATTTTTAAGTTATTTACAGACATCAAAAATTTTCGAATTTTTTTTCACAAATATTAGAAGATTATATTTTAACGAATACGTCAAAATCACGAACGTTTTATAATTATTTTGTAGTTAAAAGCTTGCAAAATATTCAATTTTTATAATAAAGCTTGAAATTTTAATACAAGGGCTTCTCTGAACGATTTTTATTAAGACATAAAAATGTATAAGTACAATTTTTTTTAGATATTTATAGTTAAAATTTAGACAAAATTAAATATTGAAACAATTTTAGTGGTTTGGTTGTAATTCTACTTGAAAGTACTTGAAACTTTTGATGTATAATTTTATATATACTATGATATTTTCTAACATTTAAATTAATTTTAAGGTATAGCCCATTTATACCACATATCTTTTCATATTATTATATAATAAATCAGTATTGTTTCATAAGTTAATGACAATAATATGATATAAATATATACTATGTACTTAAGTCTAAAATAATTAATTAATAATTATATGGTAAAATATTAAATGTAATATAGACTGACTGACCATCTATCACTCTGAATACTTTATTTTTTATTTTTTATCATTCTCTAATTATCTGTTCAGATCCACCATAAGAGTATAAAAATTTAATTTAATTTTTCCTATAGTAGAATATATTATAATAAGTACCTAGAAAAAATTATTGTTATTTTTTGCCTTCTTTCTGAAAACATGATATTTTAGTGTCCCAAAGATTTCCTTAAGAACAATGAGACTTTGACGATGACAATAAAACACTTTTATGACTGAATGGGTATATTTTAAGTTTTGTTTACTATATCAATACAGCAAAAATAACTAGTGTTTTAAGCAAAGTTTAACACAAATACAAACATACATTTATTCACAAAATTGTTGCTTTGATCAATTCTAAATGGTATTAAATTAGATACCTATTGCATTACGTTTACAAGAAAACAACAATAATGTACATTTATATAAATAAATTTATGATTTAAACTTATTAAAGATTAGCATTGACTATATCAACAAATTCTGGTTTTAAGGATGCACCTCCAACCAAAAACCCATCAATATCAGATTCTTTAGCTAATTCTCGACAATTAGATGAAGTCACAGATCCACCATAAATGATGCGTGTAGTTTTGGCAACAGTTTCATTTACTTCATCAGCTAACCATTTTCTCAAAATTTTATGGACATCTTGAGCCTAAAGATATAAAATATAATATAAGTACAAAATAAAATTATTGCAGAAATTGTCAACAACTTACTTGTTGAGGACTAGCAGTTTTACCAGTACCGATTGCCCAGACTGGTTCATAAGCAATAACTACATTTTCCCAGTTGGATATTTTCTCCTTAATAGCTTTAATTTGCTTAGCTACAACAGCTTCAGTTTGTCCAGCTTCACGTTCTTCGAGAGTTTCACCAATACATGCAACAACAGACAGTCCAGACTCAAGAGCATGATTTACTTTTTCAGCAATGAGCTATTAAAACATTTAAAATAATTTAGTATTAACATCAAGGCTTTATTTATGGAAGAACTCTTCTCAAATGTTGTACATTGTTTAATAAAAATATTTACTCTAAACTAAATTTACTATTATAATTTAGGTATAAAAGAAAATAAATATTTATAAACATTCAAAGAAAGATAAACTAATAAAGATAACTCTTTTAAGAGGCACCCAAAAAATTTTTCAAGTTACTCAAAAGAAGTTTAAAAGCAGTTTACTTTTTTAAAAAGATATTAATATACTATCAATATAAAATTTATTATTATTATGATAATTTTATTAACATTTGTATAATTATTTTCTTTTATCATTTTTTTTTTTTATAAATTGATAAAATTGCACAGTTTTCAATGTTGATTATTATTTATTAATTTATTAGACTATAGTTTAAAGCTATTTTTGTTTTATATCCTTACAAAAAATTAAGAGCATTATAATTGCACAAACATACTCTTTCACATTAACAAATAACCCCAGTGATAATAATCGTTAGAGTAAAGCCACGCCCCTCCGCACAAACTAACCACCATAAATGGATAAAAAATATTAAAAATAAAAATAATAAATTAATTTTTACAGTAATAGAGAGTATTTATGTATTATATGCCTATACAAATTACAAAGTAATTAAGTGCATAACCTATAAAATGTTTATGCACACTTTAACAGATATAAAAAATAGTTATTGATGAATCCATAGATGTAAACAAATACACTTTATAATCTGTAGATTAATATAAACCAAGAACAAATAAACAAAGCCTACAAATAATTAACAACTGATGTGGAACAAGATGATTAAACATACACTTAATACACTAAATAATGTGATGACTAATAACTTGACATAAAAATAAGATGGGATGGATTTAAGTTTTCATAAAACAAGCCTATTTTTTGTGTATAATAAAAATATCTACTAAAAATCAGTTATTATTTTTTAATATAATTCAATTTCAATACTTACAGTATCAGTCTCTTGGAATATTTGCCGACGTTCAGAGTGACCCAAAATCACCCAATCAATACCGATATCTTTTAACATACTAGGGCTTATTTCTCCAGTAAATGCTCCCTTTTCAGTTTTATAACAATTCTGTGCAGAAACATAAATGTTATTTGGTGCTTTTTCTTTGACGAAATCCAAGTATATTGCTGGTACTCCAATCAAAACCTCTAAAAAAAAAAAAATTAACACATTGTATACACGTCTCAATCTGTTATTTTCATGAACTTACCAACATTAGGGTCCAAAGGTCCTTTTACTAAATTGCTGAGTAGTTCATCGGCGACTTTCTTTGAACCATTCATCTTCCAGTTACCTCCAACAAAAAATTTTCGACACATGTTGGCTGTTGAAAAAAACGATCTAGTGGAAAAATTTAGAGAATGAGAGTCAACGAGCAATTCCCTGCACGGTAAATGGATGAGTGACTAGCTAATGAACACCGAACGTCAAATCTATTTTACGATTGAATAGAAATTGATGTTGAATGTTGATGTAGATACGATAAATGATGATAGCGAACGTAAGACCTAAGTATTGACATGGGCCGTGATAAAAACGTAGGACATACTTATGACCTCTAGTGGGGAACTTAAGGTCGTAAAAATATACAAATTATTTAACCAGCCAAATTGATAACTGTATGATATGTTATCATTATTCTGTGTCTTGTTTGTTATTACTTACCATAAAAGATAACATTATATATATAATGACATTAAAATTTAAATAAAAATACTTGAAACTTTTAAAATAAAATATTGAGTTTTTACGCTTTCGGTGATTCATATTTTTTCTTAATTTACAGTAAATGCTAATACAATACATTATTTTCTATTAATATTAGTGTCTTAGTAATATCAAGCACTATAAATAAATAGTATTTACTATTTAGTATTTTTAATTATTTTTGAGTAAGTATGTATAGTTTGTACCATTGAATAGTTTGTACATACTATGTGGATGTTTAAGTACCTATAATAAGATATTTCATTCATAACAACGTAAAGTGTACTCATAGACACATTTTATTAAAATTACCATCTGTTACTGATTTTTACCAGTTAAGGCCTAAGAGTTGCTTTTGCTTGGGTAATAAACTACTTGAGAGTAAAATTTTACCACTCAAAAGATCCACATATTTAAGAATTGAGAAATATAGCAATCATTCAGATATGAGGTATAATAATAATAATTATTATTAATATTATACTAAAATTATAAAAATGACTCACAAAAAAAGATTACCTATGTTTTTACAACATATTTATGTACAGAATGATTACTTAATTCAGTGTTAAAAAAAAAACTATAATATAATTAAAAATATTTGTTACATAATTTAAAGTCAAAAATAAATAACATTTTTTGCTAGATATTTTCTTATTTTTCATTAGAATATTATTTATGTTGTCATTTAAAAAAATTTAATCTATATTTTTTTCATAAATATATTATTTTCTATTTAATTCAAATTACCTATGTAAAATTTTTTTCTTTAAAATAAATATATCTTATTACGTTAAAAAAAAAATTCTATATATTAAATCCACAACATATTTTTGATTAATGGTCATATATTATTAATTAATAATATACAATTTTGAAACAAAATAAAATAAAACAGTTAGGTCTTAAAGAAGATTAATTTTTATGTAATTTTTCTGTATTTTGTCTAGTATTATAATATTAAATAGAGTTTTTGAAGGTTTAAAACACTTATTAAAACTAAAAGTTCTATCAATACTTTAAAATTAAAATACAAAATTTTAGTCTTTGAAACTAATTTCATTAAAATTCAAGATAATATATTTAAAAAATGAAACAAACATTAAGTTTTAATAATTTATGGTAAAAATAAAAGTAATTAATCAACTATAATACCATGTCATATAAGACTTACCTTTTAAAACAACTCTGTATATATGCTGACATTTTATGATTTTGTAATGAAAATATTGAAAAATACTGATCTTGCCTGTGTAGTATTATAGCTGCCAAGTAATAAAAACAAACCATAGATCATAATATATTAAAATGGGAAAATGTATAAAAAAAAAACAAATACAATTAACAGTACTGTAAACAGGGAAACAAATAAGTCACTTTGACCCAAAAACCATTTTAAAAGAATAAAACGTATATGTATCAATTATTAATTGCCAACTATGCTAGTTAAAAATACAAAATAAATTATTATTGAATTAATATTTAAAACAAAGGAAAAATGTGTTAATCTATTAACATTTAACACATAATATTTTTTTCAATAGAGAAATCAAGTGCCCATCTTTTTCAATGTTTTGATCTTCAAATAACTCATGGCAAATACTCCAGTAGACGAAATAACTCACAAAGAAGAAAAAAAGTTTGTGTTTAAAGACTCAACTTTTGATGTAAGTAAATCTAAAAACCTCAATAATTGTAATTAATTTAAATTATTGAACATCGCTAAATTAAATATAAAAAATGCAATAAGTATAAGGTATGTTTTATAATTGTTATGCCTATATTTATATGAAAATGTTTATAAAATATTGTCAATAATCTTATTAAATAGTTTATTATTGTTTATTTTACTATTTGGTGCTATTTCAAAGACTTAATATATATATATATTTATTAGTTAATACTAAATTACAAAAAGGTATTATACTTAATGGATATAATTGTATTTAAAATATTGTACAATTTTATAATCTAATCCTATTAAGTTATACGAGTTTTGAATTTATATTTGTTTAGAACTTTTTGAAGCCCCCTGAACCCATACTTTTTACTAAAATTTAATTTCTATCTTTTTAAAAGTAGTTCAGCAAAACTATATTCCATTATCTGCATTATTATTATCTTGTACAAATAATATTTTTATTTGTTATAGTAAAATGTTCCTTTTTTTTTAAGCTAAAGTAACAATATATATATATATAAAGTTTGTACTATTATAAACAGTAGAATAATTTTGTAAAAAATAGTATTTATTGTTTTTTACTAATGATATATCTATTATTTATGTAGTGAATGAAAAAAAATAGTTTTATTGAAACCTAGGACCCTTGGCCTGATTATTCCATAAATCCAAAACTATTCAAATAACTCATATAAAACTATGTTATATCTTGTCATTAGTGCAAAATAGACAAGGCATTGTACAGTTTAATAATTCAATAATATTATATTTTCTGTTAATGTTTTTTCTACAGATATACAGTATTAGTGTATATCTGTGGTTTTTTCACTAATTTATCATTACTATAAAAAAAAAAACAAGATTACAACCTAACACTTATAACCGGCTCGCTGAATTTTTTGCCATTTTTTCATTCCTAGATACACCACTGAAAGCAATAAATTTGTTTATAAAGACAAATAGTGTATAGTTTATTTATTATATTTAAAATTATGTTTAAAAATAACTCATTTAAGCTGTTTGTGAGTAATAACTAATAATTAATGTTACAGAGCACCAAAACAGTCAATGGAAAAAAAAAATTGTGGCGTTCTTTAAAGCAAATAACAACTCAAGAAAGAAATTTACCCTGGCCTGATAACTCAATTAATTGTATATAAACTATAAACCTTATTATTTTATATCTCGTATTTTATTTGTATCTTTCATGTTTACAGATAGCAGTATTTCTGCTCCGCCATCATTCAAACCAGCCAAAAAATATTCAGATATTAGTGGATTAATTGTAATAATATTAAAATGTTTATTTATAAATACCCAACTAATTAATCTTTTTTTTAAGGCCAAATATAAAGATCCTCAAACATCTTTATTCTATGCTGGACATGAAGAATTCAGTACTGTAAGAAACCTGCCTAGTGATATTATTACTGGATATCTTACATTACGAGGAGCATATAATCCTATTGGATAATATTAAATTAGATAAAGACTTACACACAAAGTTAATAAATATGTTGGTAACAGTAAAATGTTTATTACTATCTTGAATTATTATTAAACAATAATGAACTTTATAAATCAATGTTTATTAATTACTTTATCATCTCTTAATCCTCCTATTCCTGCATAATTACATCACTACTTGTATAAGTATAAAAACACACAAAATGTATTATATTTAAACTTGTGGATCGACTTTGGGTTCATCAAATTTAATTGCTGGGAATTTGGTAGGATCTTCATTTGGTCCAATGTTGTATTGTCTGCCTATCTTTTCTAAATCAGCCTTGTAACCTTTATCGATTGAAGGGTCAAAAGTCTTGGAATCAAATTTGCCTTTGTACTCGCGAATTTTATCCAAAAACAATTGTTGGATGGGATCTGAAACGTTAGCCATCAACACTGATGTAGCCGATATGTTGCGACGAACGAATCGACTAGCCGATCCACTGGCATTCAATTTTTGTAATAAATTAAATGACAACATGTTAAATCTGAAACATTAATTATATATTAATACACGTATGTATATCTTATACACACAGAAACAAATAACAAAATACTTACTCTGTATTAAGTTATGACTCTTGGAGCAAGTGTACAGAAATTTTTTGATAAAAGTTTCAAGATTAAAATTTTGTAAAAATTTATAGTGACATAAAATCTCAAATCATATGTCCTACTACTCCTACTGTCCTAGACAAGAATTCTATCTCCAAAATGAATGTCAATTTTTTTTTTTTTTATTGATAAAAGACAGTGTATCCAAAATAAAATTCTTCAGATTAATTATATGTATTGATATATATTATTTATTTGGACAACGTATTAAAAATTGAACCATAAACAAGATTTTTTCAGTACCAATTCTATTTATATTCAATTTTAACTAAAGTTGTAAATTCTAAAAAAATATTTTACATTTTTCTAAACGTTGAAAATTGTTATTCTACTATTACGTTGCAGTAATTTCATGTTTTCTGATAAGCGTGTGGCCATGACAACAATAACAAAGAATGACTGGGTGGTTTTCTTTATTTAAATAGTTAGAAAATATAATATTAGATTATAATTTATAGTAAACACTAAACAATTTTAAGTTAGTAAATTTACATTTTTTTAGAAAATTTTTTTTATATAATTAACATAATGAAGATAACTGTCACAACACACGATGACCACTTGTTTGTACTCGACGTAAGCGAGGACTTAGAACTAATCAATTTCAAGGCACTTTGTGAAGTAGAAACCGGAATTCCGTCACAAGAGACTGGGCTTACACACAATGGTCAGCTTTTGGTTGACGATTTTAGTACGATGAAAAACTTGGGTGTTCATGATGGAGATGTTATCATAATTCAGAGAGTTGCAAATAGCGCTACTGCAATGGATCACTCATTTAGTAGACCGAGCAATAGTATGCATGTATGAAATAAATTTTATCAGACCTTATATCTGTAATTGTTTTTATTTTTTAGACGTGTTACCACAATTTGACTTTAGCCGTATTCAAGTGCCTGGTTCATCTAATAGCAGCTCAAATACTAACATGCAACATCAGATGCAGGATGCAGAGTATGTTCGGAACTTGTTTCTCTCCAGTCCAGAACAATTAGCACTCCTAAAGCAAAATAATCCCAGACTTGCAGATACATTGACCTCTAACAAAATAGGTCAGTAGATAGTCATACATTTAATATTAAATACAAGGTTTTATATATTCATTAATAAAATAGATAATTACTACTATTTATAATGTGATAATAAGTCAAAAACACTCAGTGCTAGATTGAATTATTAAATTAAAAGATTTAATATAATGCTCGGTACGCAGTCTATTGTATAACTATTTAAATCAACCTTATGGGCTTTAGGAGATATTCAACATTATTACATAGTGTTGTGTACGAAGTGATTCACCAAGCATACTTTCACCCTTTTTTCTTCAATATTGCAGTTATTCAAAATTTGACTTTTTTATTGTATTACTTTAGAAATGCCCTTTAGAGATACAAATGAAATGGCTCAGTTTCTACTATAATTTATTGCAGATTTCTCTATAAATGTTGATGTAACAAAATTCAAATAAATAGTTTTTGAGTTATTTATCTGTATACTTAGAATAATATATTTATCATTTATTTTATCAATCTATTAACATATATATTTTTTAAATGTGATCCCTAATGAAAACATTAGTTCCTATATAAATTTATTTTATGTTTTTATAAAATCATTTTTAAAAATTTTTATACTTAGTATACATTTTAATCACTAAAAAACTACTTGTTCAAATTTTTGATTACTAACATCAAAATTTTCATAAAATTTATCCACTTAAGTAATTTACAGTGTTAAGGGGAATTTTTCATATAATAAACAGAATGTTGAACCACCATAAGACACTCCTCAAGTATTACAAAAAAATCTAAAGAATTTAAAATAATCATCTTTATGTGTATTTAAACATAAAAATTAAAATTCGAATAAATTCATTTTTATAGTAAAAAATGGAATTGAGTATGTTTCTTTGAATCACTCCATTTGTGTTGCATGAATTTAAGTAGTTAAATTAGTCCCATTTAGTTATGATGTAAATTTTTTTAATAATAAGTCTCATAAAAAATTAAAAATCTAGATCATTTATAATCTTTAAACATTTCATAATATCTAAAAGGATTTAGGTTAGACCATTTCTTAATGTATGACTGCATATATGAGATTGATAATAATGTGGAAATTGAATTATTAATTTTTCCTGCAGAAGAATTCGCAAATGTTATGGCTGAGCAAATGGAAGAACGAAAAAAGCGTGAGGACCAAAGAATGAGAATGATGAAAGCTCATCCATTTGATTCTGAAGCACAAAGATTAATAGCAGAAGAAATACGTCAAAAAAACATTGAAGCTAACATGGAAGCTGCTATGGAATACAATCCAGAAATGTTTGGAACAGTCGTCATGCTTTATATCAATTGTAAAGTAGATGGATATCCAGTGAAAGCTTTTATCGATTCAGGTGCTCAGACTACAATAATGTCATCTGCTTGTGCTGAACGGTGCAACATCATGCGTTTAGTTGATAGTAGATGGGCTGGGTTAGCTAAAGGTGTTGGTGTACAAAAAATTATTGGCAGGATACATATGGTTCAAGTTGCAATTGAAAATGATTTTTTAACAACCAGTTTTTCTGTTCTTGAAGATCAGCCAATGGATATGCTTCTTGGATTAGACATGTTAAAAAGACATCAAGTAATGATTATATTTTACAATTAATATAAATTTTCTTTCATAAACATTTTTTCTATTGTTATTGTTTTGATGTCTAATACATTCTTCTCATTTTTCGTTTTAGTTTCTTTTTTATAAACTTATATGACATATCAAATCTGTATTCATGAAAACATATTTTGTGCTTTTAGCTTCAATATTATTTGTTTGTGTCAATTAACTTGTTATTAGACTTACAGATTAGGTTAATAATATCTTGGTTACTTAGTAGATTTTTAATTTATATTTTAATCTTACATTGAATTAATGTTGTAAAATATTACAATTTTAAAATGCTCATAACTCTCTTTAAAGTATAAATATCAGTAGATGTCTATGAGATTCTCTTGGATTATATTTTTACTTTTAAATTCAATACTAGTTTTAATTGGCTTATATTAAAGTTAACACAAAATTAGTTCTTTTGAATACAAATTTATTTTATTATGTATTTGTAAAACAAAAACAAAACCTGTTGTTTTGGTATTCTGTATACTAATAATGTTCATTTATTTACTTTTATTTTTTCTTGTATTTTTGATAAATTTTTACATGATATAATACAAAATTAATTTTATTGTCAAAAATGTTAAATATCTAATAAATTTATATGTATTTTTATTTATTTTTATTATTAGTGTTGCATAGACCTGGAACATAACGTTTTAAAAATTGGAACAACAGGGACTGAAACACCATTTTTACCTGAAAATGAATTACCAGATTGTGGTCGTCTAACTACGTCCAGTGATCATGATGGAACTAAAAATGAAGATAAAGAACTAAGAAAAGCTATAGATGAAAGCAAAAAAATGCAACAAAGTAGTAGTAAGTTTTAAATCTTCACAAAGTTAATTTGAAATGAACCTAACCTTTCTTTTTAAAAATAATTTATACAAATATTATTATTATAATTAATTAGACAAGAGAAGAAAGGGTGCTTACTTTATCCAAATTACACGTTTCCTATTACTTCCGGGTACCTTTTTCCTTCCAATTTATAATTGTTAGTACAGTAGGGTCTCGTTAATCCAAACGAGATTGGGGAAAGGGCTTAAAAAAAAAAAAAAAACGATTTTCTCACAATTTAAATTTTGAAATTAATCTTGATTTATACTGTATTCATAAAAATTTGTTGTTGAAAAACTCCATGAATAAAATTAAAATTATTTTAATAATGTATATACAGCTAGTTAATATAGGTATACATATTATATTAGATATTATTATGAATTATGGTACACGTGTGTATTAGTATAGTGACGCAACAATTTCCAAGCCCATTCGATTACTGTGTCTTTCAGATTAGCCTGTGTTCGAATTAAGATAAAGAGACTCTATTGTAGTTTCTTTATTATGAATATGTTAAATATCTAATTTTGTTATTGTTAAAAGCTATTCAATATAATCAAACATTTTTATAGTTATTTATTTTATTTTGTTTTGTCATTTTTAGGTACCAGCAGTAAGTCTAGTCAATCTTTCAAAGAAACTGATATTTTAGAACTGATCAACTTAGGATTTTCTAGAGAGCAGGTAAAGAAAAATACAATTTGAATATAAATAAAAATATGAAATATGTTTTTATGAAAAAAAATTAATTCATGATATACATCTAATTATTTTTAAATATAATTAATAATTATATTTGGAATGATATCTAAAACTAAATACTTCTATTATAAGGTGTCTATCAAGAAATCACTACATGATGCAAGATAGTCAAAGATCACTTTTTGTGATCAGTTGTAGTGTTGAATATTTCAACAAATATTCTTTAGAAAAAATAACAACGTATAGACTTAATAGACTATTCAAAATAATAATTTATAATTTTACACATAATTATAAATGAGTACATTTGTTTAATTTATATCTTTTTAAATCTATTATTTTAAACATTGTAATTCAATAAAACTAATGTTACCTAATCTAATTTATAATAATGTTATATAACACACATAGTTATACTTAAAATAGTTAAGACAATAAAATTAAAATATATAATTTTCTTCTTCTTTTTTTCAGGTTATTCAAGAATTAAAAAGATTTAATGGAAATAAAAACGAAGCTATGGCCTCATTGTTTGCAAAAATATTAAAATTTTGACAGTTGTCAGAAGTTTTCAACAAAATTTATATAAAATTTTCTTCCTCTTCGAGACTGTTTTTATTTTTCAGTCAATTTTAGTTTTAATTTTTCAAATTTGTATTTCATTATTTTTATAATTTTTGGCTGAATTTATATATCTATTGTTTTTGATAAATTAATTTAACAATACATTTTTAAAATGAAACTTATAAATACCTTAAGAAAATGTAAAATATTTTTATTTACATTTTGTATCTGATTTATGTAAATCATGTTAACCGTTTAAAATATTAATAAAATCATTTAAATAAAAGGTATTTATAAGTTTCTGATAAAATTCCTTTCTAGTAATTTTTCTCCTTGGTAAAATGTTAACTTCTTTTTACTTAGAGACTGTATTTTCAAAATAATGACTTTGTCTATTATTTACACAAATATTTAAATGCATTAAAGGTGTTAAGTTTTCGTACGGTATGTAGTCTTATATTAAAAGTAAATAATAACAAATAAATAAGGTTTGGGATTATTAACCACAACAATGCTAAAGTAATATATTTCAATATTTGTAGTTTTTGCATTACCTAAAATATTGTGTTCAAAACAAATGCATGATTGTATAAAATAAAAATAATTTAAAAATCAATCTTTGTTATAATTCTTTTTCCATACCTACTTATTTAGGTACTCCTTATTTCTCTATATCTTTACTATAGTATTGTTCAACAATTCAATCATCAAATGATTTTTAAATTAATTTTAACAAAAACATGGTAAATGATAATGTATAAAATAATTTAATAATTATTTTTATGTATATAATATCATACACATATACATTATATTTTTTAAATCAAAGAAAAATGTTAAGATTTTTTTAATTATTATCCATACAACAACTATATATTTATTTAAAACCATAAATAGTTGAATATTCTCTAAAGCCACAGTCGCTCTCTCTTTGTCATCTAATCGTGTAATTATGACATGTTCAATTGCATAATTAACTGGTATTATAGTAACAGATGTTTTAATGTGAATTGGTAAACACTAATAATCAAACTAATGGATAATCCGATTAATATAGCCACATGCAATCACGTCGATATATAGTGTATATAATACTTTAACTACATTGATGCTATCTTCAACCTATAATATCAAAATATATTTTAATATAATAGATATTAAAAACCAATTTCAAAATAATGTGTTCAACATGAAATTATTGAAAGTAAAATAAACAAAACTTTTAGTTGGGCTCTGCTTTTCAAAAAAATAATCAAATTGTAAGACAAATGTTCTTTATGTTTTGTTTGTTACAAATTGCAGTAAAACAACTTACAGGTAAGCAGATACCGCCAACTTTTAATAATGCTCAATTTAAAAATTTATAACACTACTTAACTATTTTGTGAATATTTAAGTACACAAATATAACAATCATTTAGAAAAAAATATATATACACTCACTAAACTTGTCTAGAAAAATAGTATCTCTTAACAAATGACCTCAACACCATAAAATAGGTATATTATACTATGTAGACCTGTACCTAGTCTATAACTTGGTTTAAGCTAACAATTTTTTAATTGTATAGCTTCCATATTGAACCATAAACAAACTATAGTGTATAAGTAGGAATTCATAAATAACCAAAGTAATTAATGTACACAAATAGTTGTATGTTTTGTAAATAAAAAATTACCTAATATAAAAATTCTAGGATAAAGAACAATTATATTTACTTACATTAATTATACTTCAATACTTGGCAAGTTCTTTGAAATTATCAAAATATTACTACATTTAGATAGCAACTTAAAGCTAAAAAAACTAATTACAATAAATTCTAAATTACAAATCCAAAATAATTATTGAAATTAATTTTTATTTAATACATTAATAGATAATTAATAATTCTCAAAGTTGACAATTAAGCGAGTTTATAATACTAATAAAACAATTTTAAACAATGACATTCTTAAATGTTAGTAAATGCTACTATAATAAAACACAATATAAGCATAAGAAAGATTTTTTCATAAATTTCAAAAATAACATTAATCAATTAGAATAATATAGCCTATACGTACTATAACGAACACTGAAAAATAAAAATTACAAAATGATAGATTATAGTAAAAGAATAATGTTAGTGGAATGATTGTTCGATATTAAAGATATAAGTACCTATCATACAACCCAATGGATAACGTTAAAGTGTAAAACACAAAAACCAAGACTTTCAATCGATCAATTGCTACTTTAAAATTATTGAATTTTTCGTTAAATTAGACATTTCTTTTTTTGTACACCGCACTGACGTGTAATAGCACTGAGTGCATGAGAGTTGTACGACTTTCCCTTAGTTTCCCTCAATTGGATCATTATCTGATATGACTAACGTCTCAATCCACGTTTTAAATAAAACAATTCCAAATGAATGTTTAGCGTTCGATGCCATGTAGGCTTATAACCAAATGGACAGCGCTCCTGTTCTCCGGTTTCTTTTTCTAAAGGTTGTCCATTAGTTTACCTAAAGACTATAAATTTATGCTCGTAGCCCGTAGGGGTTAAATTTAAGTCAGAAAGTCTTAGGTGTCCCTAGAACAGATAAGTACCTACCTGTTTATACTGTATACAATATACATTTTTATTTATTCGTGATCATTCGATGTATTTTTATCTAATTAGTTATTACTGTTATAAGTTTTTTTTTTTTTTATAGTACTGTTAGTAGTTACTAATAATTACATCGCTATTAGCTGCAGTTTATAAAATAATATTTAAATTACCTTCTATCTTTATTTTTTTGGCCATCGATTTTTGTTACCACAATTTGTTTTTATTTTTAGGACGCCCTTGAACATGAGTAAATGCGGATTTTTTATAGTCTAAATTTCTGTACCTATTTCACTTCTCTTTATAACGACCGACAACAAAATAAATTGTACTCGTATTATATCACCGTCATTAAATTTAAAAATTGTTCCCGCCACAAAATTATCAACAGTCACCGCAGTATAACCTACAATAAAACGCTCGTGTCGGCGGTTTGATGATAGCGAAACAAAGATTGTAAATTTGTAAGTGATTTATTTTAATTTTTCATAACACTTTCGAGTTTAACCGGTACACAGTACACAATCACTAATTGATTTACTGTAAGTCTGAAGTTTTGAAGTCATGAATGATAAGTTATAACTAATAGTCATTCTATTTGCGTAATCAAAGTTTCCTATTCTCTCAGATACTCCTTTAGGTTTACCAAAATTATTTTTTAGTATTTTTAATCATGGAATCAGTCACCAAAAACGTAAGTACTGATTTTTATTTTATTGTTTCTGTAACGCGATTTCCTTTGGGTTTCATTGATATATATCTGCATTTTAATTACATCTAATTAATTATTTTACACAGTTTTCCAATGCAAACTTGGGTACCAATAACTCAAATGATCCAACTATAGAGAATCAAAGCAATACTTCTAGTGAAGACGACAAAGAATTGCCTGCATCTGAAAAATCATTATTGCAGAAAATTGTGCGCACAGGTCTTATAACTTCTAAACATGATATTGAAGTGCAAAGACGAGACCCAAAGTCACCATTATATTCAATCAAGTCATTTGAGTTACTTAAGCTGTAAGGTTTTCAAAATTTAATTTTTGTAATATTAATAATGATTAAACTAAAAATATTTGTTATGTATTCTATTGATGAGTATTTTTTTTTTATATTTTTGTAGTCATCCAAATTTACTTAAAGGAGTTTATGAAATGGGCTATAATGCACCATCAAAGATTCAAGAAACTGCATTGCCTTTACTCTTAGCCAATCCGTAAGTTTTATAAAACATTTCATACTACAAACTCAAATAGTTAAACTATTGTGGATCAACTGAATTGTATTTACTTGTATTAATATTTTAATTTAATTTAAACTTAACTTGTATTTAAGTATATCTAAATATTAACTAACATATATTTTTAACAGTATCTAAAATATTGAACTTATTGCATGTTATAGACCTCAAAATTTGATTGCACAATCACAGTCTGGTACTGGAAAAACAGCAGCATTTGTTTTGGCTATGTTAAGTAGAGTTAATCCGGAATTACAGTATCCACAAGTAATTTAGATAAAAAATATTTTTTAAATGGTAAATTTAATTTTTTTATTTATGTTTCTGTAGGTAGTTTGTTTGTCCCCTACGTATGAATTAGCTATTCAAACAGGGGAAGTTGCAGCAAAAATGTCTTCCTACTGTCCAAACATTAGGCTAAGGTATGCTGTTCGTGGTGAAGATGGTTTGTATTTCTTTTTATTGTTTATTCATTTTTAAGATAGTACTACATGTATTATTTATTTTTAGTTGAAAAAGGTTCCAAAATAGAGGAACAAATAATTGTGGGTACACCTGGGAAAGTTTTAGATTGGGCAACTAAGTACAAATTTTTTGACCCAAAAAATATCAAAGTATTTGTATTGGACGAAGCAGATATTATGGTTGATACTCAAGGTCATCAAGATCAAAGTTTCCGCATTAGAAAGTAAAACCTTTTATCAATATTTTTATATAAATTTAAAATTTAAATTTCATTTTAAGGTTACTACCAGAAACATGTCAAATGATGTTTTTTTCGGCTACATACACAGAAGATGTTATGAGATTTGCCAATGCTATTGCACCTATGTCTGTCATTATAAGATTAAAACGTGAAGAAGAAACATTAGATAATATTAGACAATATTATGTTAACTGCAACAATAAAGAAGATAAATACAATGCATTAGTTAATATTTATGGAGGAGTGACTATTGGACAAGCTATGATCTTTTGTCAGGACATTAAAGCAAAATATTAATATTAGTAAATAGCTGTTTATTGCCCATTGGTTACTTTATTTTATCTTAAAGCTTAATTTATTGATTGCCAAAGAAAGTTGAATACCTTAAATCACAAATAATTTTAACAGAACGTATTGTTATTAATAACTTTCTAAGATTTATTTTAAATTGATTATTAATCCAAAATATATTTTTTGGCATATTTAACTAGATTTAAAA